CAGGAGCAAATTAGAGTTTTCGTACGAGAATCAAAACTAATTTCAAATTTCCTATTTTTTTCTGCGTACTTTGACAAAATATAATGTTGACATTCATCTGATAAGGACTTAATCTCTGCCTCAATCCGGTACAATGTCTCCCGTATAAGTTCATCTTGGAACACACGAAAAGATTCGCGGGTAAAAATCGCAGCGGTATGGCTTTCAAGGTCGACCAGTTTTGTGATCTGGAAGGGCTTCGTATGGGAACTTAAGTAATCCGCTTTCAACTCGTTCATACGCATTCTACTAATTCCATCTTCAATTGCACGAACAACATCTAAATATGTCTTCTTGTGTTTCAGTGCAATAGCTAGTGAAGCATTCATAGACTCGCACCTTTGTGTTGAGCGAATATTGGCAAAGAAATGACCGGTTAGATATGCTTGTGCCCATAAGTGTCGTGTATTTCCCTTCTCAATCACCCATGGATGCTTTTGGACGTTGACTTCTGAAACAATCGAACGCCATTGAATATCAAATTCCTTGGTTGTCCACCAGGAAGCCATGCATTTTGAGAATGCTGCTGTAAACTTTGGGTCACCAATGTTAGCTTGTGCATTGCGAGAAAGATGCCAAGAACATAATCTGTGCTTAGCATAAGGGATAACAGATTTGATAGCCCTCTGCATTGCCCTATCCCCATCGGTTACAACAGAAATAGGTGATTTATTCATCATGGCTTCTAAAAAATTCTGTAGCACCCACTCGAAAGATTGAGACGTTTCGTCAGCGATTATGGCAGTGGCAAACACAATTGTGTTATGGTGATGATTGACACCAACAATAGGCATAATTGGTCGACCATACAAATTATCTTTGTACGTTGTGTCGAACGCAATTACATCACCGAAGCATGTGTAATCCGATCTCGATGTAGAATCCGACCAAATAAGATTATACAATGCCCCCGATTCGTCTACCGAGTATGTCATAAAAAATCCGGGATCATCATGTTTCTTATAATCAAAGTAGGCAATAAGCGCATTCACATCCCCATCGACGATTTCCTTTGCTTTACCTCTTTGAAGTGCATTGTAGAGGTCTTTATGTGTAAATCCAACATTATGATAGCCCCCTGCCTGCTGCGTTAAATAGTTCATTACTTGTGACGTGCCAACACCGACCTCTTTCAATGTTGTTGCCTCATCGATATCAGCCTTACTTACAGCTCGATTAGAACGCATAAATGGTGTCATAGCAGATGTGCACAATGCATGATTATGTTTCTGATCAGACTTACTTATAACCCACTGATCGTTTGTATTGTTGCTGTAACTACGACTCTAGCCTTACATCCTGTTCTTGTGACTGGCGTATGAGCACGTTGACGATCAACAGTATTGACTTTTGATACTCGAAACCCTTCTTTGGAACAACAAAATTCTTGTGTCTTCACATTCCCTTCCACGTCAAGCCGTGTTGTTCCCTTACGTGCACTAAACCCATGTTCCCGTGCGAATCCCTTGTAAAAGTGCCAAGCTTGATCACGTGAACAGAAGAGCTGACCAACCAATCTGTCAGATTCATCAACATTATGTACTTCATGGCATTCCTCGGTTGGCTTAACATTGTCTACATCAGTATTATCCATGGCAAAAATTTTGTTGTGCAAGTTCAGTGCTCCAGGAGTTGATGGATATGTAAACGAAGGTTCATTTTGAACATGTTTCTGTCGTGCTGCTTTCAATAGGATGTGGCATTGGTAGTGGTAGTTAAAGGGTGGGTACAATATTAAATTCGCAGTACATATTTAGGTATGTACAATAACTACAAGTATATTATCATTTTAAATTCGTAGTACACTGTTAAAAAAATTGAAACATAAATTACATAAGTTTTAAAAAAAGTATCGATCCTTTTTATAAAAAGTATGGACACTTTCAATATAATAGGTAAACAAATGATGTAATAGGTAGCCCTTATATAATGTAATAGGTATCGTTTATATGTAATAGGTAGTGGTTATATTGTAAAGTGTCTATCCTTTTTATAAAGTGTACATACTTTTTTCACTGTGGAAAACATTAATTTAAGGTTATCTTTTTGAGTGAGTTTTAAGATATTAATTTAGTAATTATAGGCGTCTAATGATTTATTTTTTACGTTACGGTATATATTATTATTAAATTAAAAATTCTAATAATATTTTATAAATAAAAAACAATCAAATAATTTTTGTGCAAATGAAATTATTAAATCAATATTGTAGGTGGAAAACATGAAACACTGTTAAAAAAATTGAAACATAAATTACATAAGTTTTAAAAAAAGTATCGATCTTTTTTATAAAAAGTATGGACACTTTCAATATATAGGTAAACAAATGATGTAATAGGTAGCCCTTATATATGTAATAGGTATCGTTTATATAATGTAATAGGTAGTGGTTATATTGTAAAGTGTCTATCCTTTTTATAAAAGTGTCCATACTTTTTTCACTGTGGAAAACATTAATTTAAGGTTATCTTTTGAGTGAGTTTTAAGATATTAATTTAGTAATTATAGGCGTCTAATGATTTAATTTTTACGTTACGGTATATATTATTATTAAATTAAAAATTCTAAATATATTTTATAAAATATAAAAACAATCAAATAATTTTTGTGCAAATGAAATTATTAAATCAATATTGTAGGTGGAAAACATGAAACACTGTTAAAAAAATTGAAACATAAATTACAAGTTTTAAAAAAAGTATCGATCCTTTTTATAAAAGTATGGACCTTTCAATATAATAGGTAAACATATGATGTAATAGGTAGCCCTTATATAATGTAAGGTATCGTTTATATAATGTAATAGGTAGTGGTTATATTGTAAAGTGTCTATCCTTTTTATAAAAGTGTCCATACTTTTTTCACTGTGGAAAACATTAATTTAAGGTTATCTTTTGAGTGAGTTTTAAGATATTAATTTAGTAATTATAGGCGTCTAATGATTTATTTTTACGTATATATTATTATTAAATTAAAAATTCTAAATAATATTTTATAAAATATAAAAACAATCAAATAATTTTTTGTGCAAATGAAATTATTAAATCAATATTGTAGGTGGAAAACATGAAACACTGTTAAAAAAATTGAAACATAAATTACATAAGTTTTAAAAAAGTATCGATCCTTTTTATAAAAGTATGGACACTTTCAATATAGGTAAACATATGATGTAATAGGTAGCCCTTATATAATGTAATAGGTATCGTTTATATAATGTAATAGGTAGTGGTTATATTGTAAAGTGTCTATCCTTTTTATAAAAGTGTCCATAATTTTTTCAATGTGGAAAACATTAATTTAAGGTTATCTTTTGAGTGAGTTTTAAGATATTAATTTAGTAATTATAGGCGTCTAATGATTTATTTTTTACGTTACGGTATATATTATTATTAAATTAAAAATTCTAAATAATATTTTATAAAATATAAAAACAATCAAATAATTTTTTGTGCAAATGAAATTATTAAATCAAATAATTCAAATTGAAAATTAAACAACAAATCAATTAAACATTGTTGTGGGTACATTAATTGAACATTGTTATGGGTACATTATTTGGATTAATTTCGTTGAGATGGGTTATGTATAACAAAACAATCTATCTCGCATGTGAGTACTTTATTCCAACCATGTGACAAGTGTGACAACTCCATCAACTCACAACTCAGCTTTGAACTCAATCAATATTGTCTTTTAGCTTAATGGTTCATAAAGCATGTTACTTGAACAGTATGAATCAATTATGCAATTTTCATGTTCAATTTAACACTGCATTTCAAATTCATTTCATATGTAATTGGAGTTTGAATTTAAATTTCAATTTGAGTTTGAATTTCAATATATTTCGGCTCCACTATAAATATTAGCCCAAGCCAATATGCATGTTATCATTGATTATTCCTAATTTCCATTGTTTTTTTTCAACGTATAAAACGCGAGGGAAATCCCGACCATTTTATTTTTTGGTCAACTTTAAAGCGTCAGAAACGTTTCGGGCGTATGATCTGGGTGGTATACAAGAAATGTAACAAATAGCAACTAAAATCATAAGTTGAGTACCACCCAAATCATAAGTCTGAAATACTTCCGATGCTCATCAAAATCCAAAGCTCATATGATGCCAAGCAAAAGGAAATCAAAATCCAAATATCATATGATGCCAAGCAAAAGGAAATCAAAATCTACAACTTGAGTTTGAACATTGATATGATATGTTCGGTTGTTATCATGTTGGGATTTTCTCTTTTTTGATTGCTTGGATAGTTGTTCTCTTGCTTCTTCAAGTGTTCTTAAGGTTATCCTTTGAGTGAGTTTTAAGATATTAATTTAGTAATTATAGGCGTCTAATGATTTATTTCTTACGTTACGATATATATTATTATTAAATTAAAAATTCTAAATATTATTTTATAAAATATCAAAACAATCAAATAATTTTTTGTGCAAATGAAATTATTAAATTAATATTGTAGGTGGAAAACATGAAACACTGTTAAAGTATCGATCCTTTTTATAAAAAGTATGGACACTTTCAATATAATATAATGTAATAGGTAAATTTACAATGCTATCGGTATAAATATACCGGTTTACTTATAAAATAGATAAATATAAGCGCTACCTATTACATTATATAAGCGCTACCTAGTATATTATTGTACTTTATAATATTTCCGGTTAAATAATATAACATAACCGGTCTAAATTTTAACCGGTCACTTGTTTAACCGGTCACGCCGTATATTAGCCGTTTTTTAGGCGCCGCACCGCAGAACCACCCGTTAACAGCTCTATCTTAGATGCACCATCAATACTGCCAACCATACCGATAACCTACAAGTACCATTACCGAAACCAAATTCAATAATTACCCACCCAAAAGCTTCTAATTCAAGTTTGCATGAGCTTGCACACGATCTAGTTTGTTTACAAAAGGTACAACAAAGAAAGAAATTCAAAAGGAACTACCGTAACGTTAATAAAGTAGTTTAACCAAATTACACACCACGATTTCATAGTTATATAGCTAATCCACACATTAAGACAAGAAGAAGAAGAAAAGCACACAAAAAAGGCAAAATCCAAAAAAGTTTGGTCCTTAATGATTAGCCTCATCTCCTGCAACGGGTGATCCTTGAACACCCTCTAGAGTAAGGGTGAACCGGTCCATGAGCCTGGAAACAGTTGTGCGTATAATAAGACCTGCCCGATCTCGGTGGACATGGGATTCTATTAGCCGAGAGCGCGCCGTACGAAATGTAATACTTCATCCTCTTCCAAAACAAAGATCTACGACCATATCCGTTTCCATCTTCACCCTCCATCTCCTCGTCGTCTTCGTCGTCGTTTAAGTCACTGTAAAGCAACATTGAAAGCGGCCATTCCAAAGCATCATCCATCAGCTTCAAGCTTCTCTCTTCAACTTGGGCTTCGACTTTCGATCTTGACAAGACAATGTAAGCGATGAAAAGGGGCAAAAGAAGCTTGCTGAGAAGTGAACATCGAGAAGCCATTGTCAGTAACGAGTTGCAGAGCTTTGTTGAAGAAGAGGAAGGGGATGGAGTAGTGTAGTGATAGTAGGTTTGTGGGGAGTTTGGTTTAAGGGGACAAATGGGGTCACGATGAGCAGAGAGGTGATTGGTTTACAGCTGTGATTTTCATCAATGCCATCCATTAAAGCGTGCTTTGGTTCCAGGACCAACACAAGGAGCTTGTCGTCTTCTGTATGTTAGGGTTAATGGTTTTAGATTGGTTTTAAGGCGTTAAATTTTTTATGTTTGGTGGGTCCATCATACTTGGCTCAATCAATGTCGTTGAAGTAGTGTTTAGTTGGAATGTGGCATATGATAGGGAGACATGGTGCACATGCGACGGATGGGATGATGGAGAAAGACTCTGCGGGACGCTTCAGAGGTGGTGGGATTAGATTGGACCGCTTGATTCCTTCGTTAATTTTTGGTATAAATCATATTTTAGTCCCTGAATTTTGAAACATTTCCATGTTAGTCCACAAAGTATTATTTTTATGTATCAAAGCAAAGCAAAGCATTTCAGTACTCAAATGGGGATTGTCCATGGAAAAAGAAAGAGGTTCACGCGCCTTAATTGAACAACTTCCTTTAATCCAATCCGTCCAATTTGTGGGCCTAAACGTGTAACCCATCTGTTGCTATGATGACTGAATACAGTTAGACCCACATTAAGGGCTAACATAAAATATTCCAAAATCATAAATGGGGCCCACTTTCTTATTAGCTTTTTAACTTTTGTGTCGAAACAAAATTTGTCGTAAGTCGCTGAATAAGGCTTTCTTCCTAAATAATTTGTATTTTTTTCGATATAGAAATATTTTTTTATTAATATAATATCATATATTTAACTATAATATATATTTATTCATGATTAACTAGAATATATTTATTAGCTCGTGAATCAAGTGATGTTTTGAATGAGATATAGAGCATGCTTTAACTCTAAATATTTTATCCTATAAACAAGTGTTGATGTTGGCTGTAGTATTAAATTATACTATATTATTTAATTCGAGTGAGAGTTAAGATTTTTTAAATATGAATCTACTTTAAACTTAAAACAAAAATTAAAATTCATCAATCGTATATAGTACATAATATACTTAAAACAAGTATATGAAAGTTATTAAACTCGTTAAACCACCTCTAAAATTCCTTTGAAGATAATTATTTTACTGTTATTCTTTCGCCTATTAAACATTGAAATGCATGGAATATATGATATCTTTTGAAATTTTTAGAAGCCTCCAAAATATTATATCTTGAGATGATTATTATGACCTTAGATCTGATATCAACATTAAGGATTATTATAAAATCCCTCAACTGAGGTTAAGAGAGGAATTTTATATTTTTTTCCCCTCTTCTTACATAAAGATAACGAACATTATTTATCATCTTCAACTTGCCATCACTAGTAAATTTATCGACCGTAACTTTTTATTCAAATAGAATAGGATGAACCGTCAATGACGGTTACAATTCAAATGTTACAATCAACGTAAATATATCAAAAATAAATTTTTTGGTTCATAAAATTTTAAATATTATAAATTAATCACTAAATTCTTCAACAATTATTGAACATTCATTAAATTTATATATTACTATAAGATACTTATTAAAGTTATCAAAATTTATCATTGTTTACAATGTATTGTTTAGAATAATTTAATATATTTAATAATTATTTTATAATATTTAAAAATTTGATAATAAAAATATCTTTTTAACATAGCCTAATAGTTTATGATATACTTTATCTGTATATTTATTTAGAATGGTATAGCCAGTTGCTGTAGGATATTGCAGCACTTTTAAATACACTTTTTCCCCTCTCCTTCTCTCTTTGCTCTTACATAGATCTGATAAAAACCCTAATTATTTTTAGCTCCTCTCTGCTCCCCCATCCCTCTGCCATTCATTATCTTCGTAAATCTATCATTTCAATCTTCCGCATCCTTCTCTCAACCAACGCACGCACGCTTAGAAAGAGTAATTCTTTTGAAAAACTGGGAATATTTAAAAGCTCGTGCGAGATTCAGTGGATGCTGATATAATGAAATCTTCAACAGAAGATCACATGGATATGATGAGAATGATGATGCAAATGGAAAAGGTTCCCTTTCAATTCTCCGAGCCTTCTTTCCAGAGCTTTTCCACGACGTTTCCAGCTGAAAATCACTTCTTTAATACGACATTGATGACCTCGCCCTCCACGTTATCATTTATTGGCAACGCCCCATCTCAAGAACCCGATCATATGGCCTCAAGCAACGAGTTCAACGATTCAGTCGATAAGGTAAACTCCATGGAAGAAACTAGGGAGATGATCTTTCGTATAGCAGCGATGCAGCCGATTCGTATAGACCCGGAATCCGTCAAGCCTCCGAAGAGAAGGAACGTTAAGATCTCTAAAGATCCTCAGAGTGTGGTCACTAGGCATAGAAGAGAAAGGATCAGGGAGCGGATAAGGATACTGCAAAGACTTGTTCCAGGAGGCACTAAGATGGACTCTGCATCGATGTTAGACGAAGCTATTCATTATGTCAAATTCTTGCAAAGACAGGTGCAATCTTCGGGACAAGCTGGCGTTAACAGACCAATGGACATTGTTGGATTTCAAAGTGCAGCAATGGCTAATGTGGGCTTAGATAAGAGATGCATGTTTTAGGTTTTGTTACTGAGAATTTCATTGTATGCGTTCTTTGTCGGATTATAAATTCTGAATATTGATTCTCCATATAATCTAGCTTGCCGCCCATATAAATGTTTAAGTTATATATTCATTAATTTAACCAAAAAAATAAGGTGCCATTGAAGCATTTATGTCAGCAAAACATGCACAAAATATCTTATAAATGGACGTAAAGTGAATATATTTGTCTAAATATCTTGTAAAAAACAGTAACGTAACCAGTATTTCTATTGTTTATGCACGGTACAGGGATAATATATAGAGAAAATAACCTCCGTGACCAAAAATCCCATATAATATATGATTTTAATCAAATTTTTTCGGATTTGCCAAAATGACCAACAAAATCGCAATGCGATCGCTAATTCGCAACGCAACGCGATCTCCATTATCGCAAATCAGTTTCCAGATTCGCAACGCGATTATGACTATCGCAATGCGATTTTCCAATTTCGCGTTGCGATTTTCCCAATTCGCAATGCGAATAAGTAAATCGCAATGCGAAGCTTACTATCGCAATGCGATTTACATAGCGCCATTCGTATTAACGCGTATTTTTTTTTCAAAATCCAAACACGAATTTTTTCTTAATAAATCAGAAACTGAACCGTCCACAGTAATCGCAACTCATAACCTCAAACCTAAAATCACAACACTCAGTCCCATCTCCATCTCTCACTCTCTACGGTGAAATCCGTCCCCATCTCCGAAGATTTCCGTCCCCATCGCCGGCGAAATCCCTCACAACCATTCACAGTCAAAAATCCTCACAATCATTCAGAAATGGAAAATCACCTCCGAGGGTTAGTTTTTTATTTTATTTTGAAATTTTTGCATTATTTTAGATTTTTCATATTGAGATTGATGATAAGTTTACTGGTAATTTCAATAATAGATTAACCATTTCACTTAGATTTCTTATTAAATTCATTCGATTGCTGCCAATACTGCTAAACTGTTTAGCCTGTGAAGTTAGTATTTGTCTTTGTTTTGTCTTTTGGTTGAAGTAATGCAGAAGAAGAATAGTTTCGAGAATGAAAATCGCAACGCGGAAATAACTATCGCAACGAGAGAATCGCAACGCGAAATAAAAATCACAACGCGAAACCAAAATCGCATTGCGATTTTCATTTCGCGTTGCGATTCTCTCGTTGCGATAGTCATTTCCGCGTTGCGATTCTCATTATCTCGTTGTGATTTTCATTTCAACCAAAAGACAAAACAGTGTTGCAAATTTTAGTTTCAAGAATAAACTACTATTTATGTTTATTGTTTTTTGTATATCTTGACAGTGTAGTTTTTGGTATATCTAACTTGGTATGTTTATTGTTTTTGTAGAAATTTTTACGGCTTCATTGACATTAAGGAATAAAGTTAGCCTAGCCACTACAATTGCTTCGAAGCTTTCACCTGCACAAAGAAAATTGTTTGAAGAAACCTGCTTCGGGCCATGGCTGAGAGTACAGCATCCGGGTGGAGATGCTAATTTGACCCATTTGTGGCTTCAGACCATGACTAGCGATCTACCCGACAGTATACAATGTGGTGAGGAAGAGATATGGTTTCATTTTCCACCGGCGTATACTTGTTTTGGGCGGAAGGAGTTCTGCTTAATCACTGGTCTACGATTCGGACACGATGATGTAGGCCGGTACACTCGTCATCACCCGCCCATCATAGTTATCCAGGGTTTTTCCTGATGAGTCAATAGAGAAGCCGAACTTACACGTCGATGACATGAAGAAATTGTTTAATAAGAAATATGATTTTACTCGGATGAATGACGTCGATGTTGTCCGAGTATGCCTTCTACTACTTTTATATGCCGGCTTTTTAGGCAGAGAGGCCAGACAACCTATTCCTCAGGAGCTAATATTATTGGTAGAGGACCTAAATGCATGGAATCTGTTTCCGTGGGGTTCGTATATGGAAAGCTACCTGGACTAAGTTGTCGTCTGCCTTTGATGACCGCAAAAGTTTGCGGGGCGATGGGTCGAAATACACTTTGTCAGGCTTTGTTTGGGCCTTTAAGGTAAGAATTTCTATATAATGTTTTCAAAATTATAATTAATTATTTAACAATTACTAATGTTTGTTATTATTGTTTGTAGATTTGGATATTCGAGGCCTTTCCCGCCATGAAGACATATGCAATAAAAACTTCAAATGATATTCCCAGGGCTATTTCCTGGAAGAGGAAACGTCTGTTGGATTGGGAAGACTTAATACCATATGCGACAATAAATAATGTAAGTTAACACAAATACTATCATATATAAACAAGTTATTAATAGTAGACGTTTAACTTTGTTTGAGTTTTTATATTTTTAGGAGGCCAACATTCCATTAATGAGACTGACACCCACGGAGGCTGAGCTTGCCACTGATTGGTGGTAAGCTAGTCAGCGTTTTCTTGATGGCACGAATGATGAGCAACCTCCACTTCCTCCACTTCGAGAGCCATCACCTCACCCAGAGCCATCACCTGATCGACCCGACTATACACCTCTACAACGAGAGCCATCACCTATCCCGTCACATCATCGAGCCTCTTCTCCACCATCACCTCATGATAGGCGACCGACAAAGATGCCACGACTTCTATCTCCCTGTTCTCCACCTCCACGGGATGAGTCAAGGGAGTTACGTGATGAGGTCAATGCCTTGCATGAGGAGATCGGTACTCTACGCGATAACGATGGTGCATGGCGTGTGGAGGTGTCTACTTTACGTGGTGAGGTTGCCGCTCTACGTGAGATGTTAGTATCGTTGCAGAATGAGGTTCATACTCTACGCAACGAGGTAAGTTTAAGATTTTCCATATTTAACTTGATGATAAATTTACTCGTAATTTCACTTAAATTAACCATTTCACTTAGATTGCTTAGTAAATTTATTCGGTTGCTGCCAATACTGCTAAACTGTTTATTAACATTGTGAAGTTAGTATTTGTCTTTTTGTTTTGTCTTTTGGTTGAAGTAAATTTATTCGGTTGCTGCCAATTCTGCTAAACTGTGTATTCTTTAACACTGTGAAGTTAATATTTGTCTTTATTTTGTCTTTTGGTTGAAAGTTTGAAATATATTTGTCTTTGTTTTCACTGTTTAAATATCATGTATGTTTATTTACTGATATTTGTATTTAATTATTTAGCGGACCGATAAGGTGGATGCTTTACGTCGGGTTTTTCTTGCACGACAGAGTTCACGCATCAGACGGCGTGCACGTGCTATTAAGTCTCCGTATACCCCAATAGTACGAAGACACCGCAAGAAGAAGCCCGACTCGCCTGTCATCCCTCAAGAGTCCACTCCTATCGTTGAAGAGGCCCCTATCATTCCTCGAGAGTCCCCTCCTACCGTTCAAGAGGCCACTATCATCGTTGAAGAGGTCCCTCCCACCATTCAAGAGCCCGATTCACATGGCGTCATATGTAGGATTCTTGAGAAACCCTCTGACGTGCCGGACATGATGGATTCAAGTTAGCTCTCGTATGAGTTACCGGCCAGTGCCATACCGGTATCTGAAGTGGAGAGGAAACAACTACCGGACACAATTCTGGATAACACCCTTTGGGCTAAGACCGCAGTTGATTTTTATCTACATGAGCGAAGCCATGGGTGTTTCACTGACATATGCAAGCTCAACGATGATATCTATTTGTTGCTTGATCGGTCTTGGTGGGGCGTATTATTAGGGGTCGAAGACAATGGCTATTTCGATAGAGGGGTAAGTCTTATATTTTTCTTATATTTTAATTTGATTATTTTTTTGTAAATTTATGTAAGTTACTAATATATGTCTTTTTTGTAAAACAACATATCGATACGTGGGTGTCACGTCTTCTAATAATTAGGAAACTTAAGGAAAATAAAAGAAATACACGATATACAATTATGCCGACGTCTTTTAACGCCGTTCACTTGAAGAATCAACGAGATAAATCATTTGCGTTGGGCATTGGACAAGCTAAACTTTATCCTGCATGGTGGGAGGTCGATAAGGTTAGTGTTTATTTTAGATTGAGTTTAAAGGTATTCATAAATAAGTGCGCAAATGAATGAATTATTACTTATGATTGCAGGTGTTTATCCCTGTTTTGGAACGTAACCATTGGCTTCTCGTCGAGCTTCAGATCCCATCCCTTAAGGCAATAGTATATGACAGCATGATAAATTACATATCATTGGCTGATTTAAGATATATTATTAAGGGATGGAGCTCTTATTTGGCTAAATTCTTGGATGCGATAAATTATTGGACTCGTTCTGGAAACAAGAAGCCAAAGAAGCTCAATATTACAGTTAGCAGAGACGAGACCGCACCACAACAAACGAAAGGACCCAGAGGGGATTGTGGTCCTCTCGTATGCTTGGCGTTGGACCGTTTGATCACAGGAAGTATAAAGTATCTACCTCCCACCGATATAGATAGAGCTGAAGTAGGCTTGTGGTTTCGACATTATATGGCTAGATCGATATATACGAGACGTTGCCTACCTGCATCTGCGTTATAAAAATGTCCATAAACAATGGTATGTTTATAGGCTTGTGGTTTGAAAATGTTTGGTTAAGTACCTAGAATTCAATAATTTGATGTTTGTAGGTTTTAGATGTGTAGAAAGTGTTGTTTGAGCAAATGTTTTTATGCAGGTTAATCTCAGAAGTGAGCTGCGTGAAAATGATGTATGGCTGCAAAAGTTGATTCAATAGTAGAAGTGTTATTTTCTCTAAGAATTATTGCTTATTTTTTGATTGTTTAATTGATTTGTAAAAGGTGATTTGTAAAAGTTGATTTGTTTAATTGATGTTAACATAATCCTTATTTGTGCTTGTTTAATTGATTGAAATGTAATGGTTGATTTTGTTGATTTCAATCTACATTATGTTGAAGGCAAAAAGTACTATCGCAATGCGAAATGAAAATCGCAACGAGAGAATCGCAACGCGAAATTAAATTCGCGTTGCGATTTTCAT